TATACAGACCATAAAAGTTTGCAATACATCTTCAAGCAAAAGGATTTGAATTTGAGGCAACGAAGATGGTTAGAGCTAATAAAAGATTATGACGTTGATATACTATACCATCCAGGGAAAGCAAACGTAGTAGCCGATGCTCTCAGTCGCAAGACAATATCAACTATTAATGAGCAAATCGTGGAAAAAGAAAGGATGGCGAAGGATCTACGTCAACTAGCTAGTTTGGGAGTTCGTCTTCTTGAAACCCCTAAAGAAAGGATTGTAGTGCATAATGCGGCAGAATCTTCATTAGTAGTTGAGGTGAAAGAGAAGCAGTTCAAAGATCCTACTCTACAACGACTTAAGGAGAAGGTAAATCAAGGTACAACAAAGGAATTTGAGCTTACACAAGATGGAGTACTTTGTTGTCAAAACAGATTGTGTGTACCTAATGTTAATGGGCTAAGTAGGAGGATAATGACAGAAGCACATCATTCAAGATATTCCATCCATCCGGGATCAACTAAAATGTACCATGACTTGAAAGGAGTGTATTGGTGGGGGGACATGAAGAAGGACATTGCAAAATTTGTGGCTCAATGTCCAAACTGCCAGCAAGTCAAAGTAGAGCACCAAAAGCCGGGAGGTTATAATGCAGTGTATGGAGCTTCCAACTAGGAAGTGGGACATGATCAACATGGATTTTGTCACTGGTTTTCTTCGCTCGTTTCGTAAGTTTGACTCCATATGGGTAATAGTTGATAAACTCACAAAGTCAGCACATTTCTTGCCAGTTAAGACTGATTATACAGCTGAAGAGTAATCAAAGTTATTAAGGAGATATTTCGGCTACACGGGGTTCCAATCTCTATTATATCTGATCGAGGAGCTCAATTCATTGCAAAGTTTTGGAAATCATTCCAAAAGAGTTTGGGAACACAAGTGAATTTAAGTACAGCCTTCCGCCCTCAAACGGATGGTCAAGCAGAACGCACAATCCAAACACTTGAGGATGATATGCTTCGAGCTTGTGTCTTAGACTTCAAAGGTAGCTGGGATGGTCATTTGCCACTTATTGAGATTGCCTACAATAATAGTTATCATTCTAGAATCAAAATGGCACCTTATGAAGCTTTATATGGAAGGAAGTGCAGATCACCAATTGGCTGGTTTGAAGTAGGCGAAACTGCTTTATTTGGACCAGACCTTGTTCTTCAAGCTATGTAAAAATTAAGGTGATACAACAACGACTAGCAACAGCTCAAAGCCGACACAAATCATATGCAGATGTTAGAAGAAGAGGATTAGAGCTTTCTATAGGAGATTGGGTGTTCTTGAAAGTATCACCAATGAAAGGGGTAATGAGATTTGGTAAAAAAGGAAAGTTGAGTCCACGCTACGTAGGGCCATATAAGATTATTCGAAGAGTTGGCCAAGTTGCATATGAGTTAGAGCTAACTCAGGAGCTTTCAGTAGTTCATCCGGTGTTTCATGTCTCAATGCTTCGGATGTGCGTAGGTGACCCATCATATATCACTCCTATTGAAGATGTACAATTTACAGGGGATCTCACCTATGAAGAAGTACATATTGCTATTCTAGATCGTCAAGTTAAACAGCTAAGGAATAAAGAAATGGCTTCAGTAAAGGTGCTTTGGAGGAACCAACAAGTGGAAGAAGTAACGTGGGAAGCTGAGGAAGCGATGAAATCAAAGTACCCTTATTTATTTGAACCTAAAGGGGAAGTCCAAAGTGCAGAATGGGGTCATTAATAGGTACGCATGAAAGGGTATTTCTTATGTGATTAACAGTTGATTTAAACTAAGGTTTGAACTTATTTAAGCTATCTGATTATGCTAGCATTCTAGGACGAATGTTCCTAAGGGGGGGGGGGAGGATGTAACACCCTGTATTTTACATGTACAAGTCCTACACATATGAAACTTGATTTAGTTTGGTGGTATAAGTAATGAAACTGATTTCCTAGATGAATGGTGACAATAAAGAAGTTATAAGGGTAACTCCCGTACATTGCAATATTGCACGATCGAGTGAACGCCAAATTTTAGAATTATTTAAATTCTGGATCGAAGGGCTATATGTAAGTCTAAATGTTAAGGTGATCAAGTGTATATATGTTTTGAGTTCAACTAAAGAGATTACGCTCGGAAAACGAATAAAAGAATTGAGGTGCTTGTTGGACTTTATAAAGCTAGCAGGTGTCACTTGCTTGCTTAGCTCAAATGGGCAAGGTAGATGGGGAAGATTAGTTCATGCATTAGTGGGCTCACTTGAGGCCCAAATTAAATAAAAAGGAAAAGGGAATGGAGATGAGGTCTCACACCAATCTGTCCAAGTCCAACTACTTGAGCCCAATAAAGACTAAGGCCCAAATTAAGGGTATAATTTTGGCCCATGGCTTAATATTAGAAAGGAGAAAGATTGTAGCCCAAGATGAGTACATAAAGGGCCCGTTTTGTGTATATATAATTCCAAGCAGGTGCATCACCTACTTGGACCAATTTGACAAATTAGTGGATGATATTAAAACTTAAGAGGTGGGGAAAAGTAAGACCTTTATTATCCACAAGTTGCTGGCCATTTCCTCACTTTTAAGAATAGATAAAAATCAGATTTCTCTCTAAGCTTCTCCTCTCTCTTTCAAAGCATAGCAGGATCCACAAGTTTCCTAGGGTTCTTGGATAAACCCAAGCCCTTGCAGGGTAAGATAAGTGAAATTACTAATGGATTTAGCCTAATTCTCTCATGGAATGCTAGATAAACATGCTAATTAGTTAAGAACAAGTAGAGGACTAAATCTGTCAAAAGTTTAATTACTCACTTTCCTTCGCTATTGAGTGGCTTTTCTCTTTTTCATTGGCTTATGTGAAGGGAAGCTCAATTTATTGAAGAGTTAAAATTAAAAGAAAAACGAGTTATAAGAATTAAGGTAAAGTGACTGCCCTATCTTTGTCTTCCTTAAACACGAGTCTAAGTATGATATTTTAAGTGTATTGTTGATAAGAATTCGTGGGATGATGATGGGAAACTATGGTTTCACGTCCTCTATTGTATGTTGGATTGTTACGACTGTTTTTGGGAGAGGTTGATGTATAAACATATTGGGGACAGCTTGGTTGATATCTGGAAAGGGTGTAAGTTGCTGATATTGAAATATAACTGTGTAGTGTACAAATGCAATAAAACAAGCGATAATTGAAAGAACAACCTTAGTTTGGTAATTACGGGTTTGCTGGCCGAGCATTATTATCGAGTGAGATTGGACTGCCTAAGCATGTTTAGTAACTACTAATACTAGTTTATCACCTACTATATTGTAGATAAGTATTTGAAAAGAAAGGAAGGTACTTCAAGGTAACTACAAGGTGGTACAGCAAGGTATGTAAGGCTTTTCGATTTCCTACTAATTAGCATGAAATCTAGACTCATCCTCGACACATAGAGGCAGCCTACCAGCTCCAACACGACTTATGACCTTGTTCTCACTCTTTAACATGTCTG